CAGTTGTACTTTCCTTTGTATTGTAACTTTTTTTCTTTAGTATCAGTTGATTCGGCTTTAAAGCTACTTATTGTATCCATTTTGGTTTTAAAGCTCTATTTAGCTCTTTCGTTGGAGCACATTGGCTTTCATTTCGTTTGTATTCTGATATTTCAAAGCCCTTATTAGGAAATCAAGATTTGTTCCTTGGTCGTTTTTTTTGTTCAATAAAAGTCCATTTATAAATATTTATTTACAATTCATTTACAAAAGTAGATGATATATCATAAACTAACGAGAATTGTGTAAATGATATGAGATCATATGCAGTATAGAATAAAAACCACTTAAAAAGCCAAATAAAATTTAAACTGACATTGCCTAAAATATGAAAAAAATCATTATCGACAAAAACATTAGAAGACTCGTAATTTCCTACATCACTAACTAATAGAGGGAATTGTATTTAATACTGCACCAACAACGTGTTCTTTATGTAATGGTGATTCGTATTGGTTTAATGAACCTTTTATATTTTAAGCTATATTGTATTATCATCTCCAAATATTCTACATTATCAACAAAGTTCTTCATGTAATGGTGACTCGTAATCAGGATTTGTTAATTCCTTGGTCGTTTCTTTTTGTTCAATAAAAGTTCATTTATAAATATTCTATACGTTGTTCAGCAAACTAAATTTGATTCTCCTTTAATTAATCAATGAAAAAAAGAAGCTAACATATACATAGAAATGTTAAAATGGGTATGAAATTTCACCCAAAAAAATATGGTTATGAAATTCGTGGGTCTAAATGGGTCTCTCTTTTACCATGGAGCAGAAGATGCAACAAATCTCTCAAATACTGATGTGAGATATGCGAACCCAAATTGGATACAAAGATGTGGTTTTATACATGCGACTCGTGTAGGATTTTACTCTTCATGTTACATGTTAATTGGGAATAGACTTGTACATGAAATCCATACAAGTCATCAAAATTTACAATGATGTTGAAAAAGAGATTGGAATTGCTCGCAATCACAGTAACTCTCGACAAGTTTGTGATCATTGTGGTCGTCGTTGTGCACAAACATTGGTATATAAGTGCTTAGACAGAAATTTTGTACTTTTGATTGTATGAATGCTATATGGGTTGACACGAGGCACAAGATTGAAACAAAGATTATAAGAAAAATGCGAAAATCACAACAAAAAGAGTGGGTTGAAACGAC